CTAAAATTTAAATCTTCTGCGTTTCAATTTTCCTTCGGCACGAATTTTCCGGACAACCCAATAGTAATATTTATTATATTTTATATATTGTTTATACTAATTGTTTATACTAATACTATTTATTTTGTAATGCTTCTTATTCTGACACCTGAGTGACGGGACCATTCTTTGATGGCTTCTTCTAATTCGGCAGACCTCGAACCTGCTAAATTGTTTCATCACCGAGTCTGAAATATGTACAATTAAAATAATTGCATTAATAAAAATAAAAATATAAAATAATATTTATAACATAAATTTTATAAACAAACCAATTAAATATAAGGCAATTTGTTCTGATTGATTATACTTTTCTACTTTTGCACCAGTACAAATTTTTTTTTAAAATAATCAATGAGAACTTGCACGTTTCAAACAAGTATAAAAGTATGAAAGTATAGAGCACTATAATATAAATATCCGCCATTTTTAGTCCTTTTCCCATTCTTTATTCTCTCTTCAACCTTCTCTCTTCTCTCTTCAATCTTCTCAGTTCAACGATGGAGTGGAGAAAGAGCAAGGGATTGAGAAAAGGAGCAAGAGAGTGAGAATTGGGAAAAGGACTAAAAATAGTGGATGCGAATACTCTGCGTATTAGCCTTAGTATGGGAACGTATAACCAAGTTATAAAATTATCTGTTAGCACCGACGAGGTATTAAGACGGCTAGGATGTAGGACATTTATTTATATCAGAAATAGTAGACATCTTACAATTTAATTTTGAATATAATTTTCGCATTTATGTAATTCATACTTGCTAAAATTATCTGTAAGTTAGGGGCCTTTATACTTTGATATATAGTATTATGTTTAGCTCATCGATATTTTTAAATAACATTTATGATGAATTTCATAGACGTCACAAAGATTGCATGCAAAAGGCAAATGTTTCCAATTTCACAAAAGTGTTTTAAACCTTGTTGTTTTGAGAAATTAGATATAATGAAATAAATGTTTAAACCGATTATCAGTTTGGATGTAGATTTAAACCACTTTTCTGTCCATGATATTTGAGCTACTTCATTAAAGATAATTTGTGATAAAGTATTTCTAATAAATTGCTTACCCGTCGAATCTCATCGATATATCATATGTTCCTGTAGTATATACGACAGTGAAAATGAAACGTGTTTAAAAACAAGTTCGGTCGATGGTTAATTTGGTACCGATCATCATACATCTTTTTATGTAGCAATTTTGCCATTTAATTCTCTATTTGCATTATGTCATACTTTAATATTATACCAAATCTTTTTCAATAATGCTCAATATAAAATTACCAAATTTAATACATATAAATAAAAAAAGTTCTTGATGATACATACAGAAATTAAATATGATGAAATTCAAAAGTTATAAGATGGCGAGTAAATTTCTGAGCAAACACAATTTTCCTAACGGACAATACAAGCATTTAAAGTAATATTTAATAAATATGACAATATGAACATACAAATTGTTTTCTCATGTTGGTATTCTCTTCCAACTGATTTTCGCACTGCAAGAACTGTTTCAGCATCATTAGAGGCAATGGAGATCTTGGAGGCAATGGACAGATCTTATGCTATCACTTCGTCTTGCCTTCCCCTCTTTTAGTAGAGCTTCAGTAGTGTACATTTGTCTGGATAATCTTTTCAGTTCCTTACGGATGTAGTCTCTGCATTTACCTGTAATGATATGAAGAAATTGCAACATAAAAACTGAATTAACATTAATAATTATTAATATTTTAATAAAGTCAAATCTATCTATTATAATAATAACCATTACCAGCATTGGCTATTGTTTTTTATTATTTATTATTATATTATTATATATATTTTTATTATTACATATATATATAGGAACAGGAGAGTAAGTTTGTGATATGCATTTATTTAAAATAATTTTTATGTATTTTTGTTTAAAAATACAAAATATAAATATAACATAAAAATAAAGAGACATTAAAGAGACAAACTATTACTAAATCAGTTCTGACAAAATATTAAGATGAATTTGGGCTACTCTGGAAATTTCCGACCTATCTATCCACAACTTTAGATATTGCTTATTTACATCAAGACAGAAATTATGCATGTAGTCTATAGGAAAATGATTTACCATTGAAACTGAAATCAATTCAAATGGCGATGAAATATCTTGAAGATGATGTTCCAGTTGCGACCTGTTAATAAAATTAATATCGGTCCGAAGTAGAGCAGTAGTATTCAAAACAGTCATTCGTTTATTTTTTCGCCTTTGACAGTGCATTTTCCACAGGCAAAGTGTCCCATTATGCGATTTTATGCAAGTAACATATGCTCGAGCAGGAGCATCACAGATAACTGCATGGATATTGATTTGCAGAGGCTGTTTGTTGATTGAGAATCCATTGTTTTTTAAATTTAGATATTCATCCACAAATAGCTGAAGAAATTCGACTAAACAAGCTTTTTGATAGCCACGATAAACACTGATGGCAAATGGCAAATCAGAAATTCTGTCTAAATCGATCAAAGCTGACTCTTTGAGCTTTTCGAAATTGGTAAGCCATCAATGTTTAAGTTCAAATTACATCATAATAAATCAAAAGCATGAGAAAAAGGATTACGATATAGGTGCTTTTAATAAACCATAGTGAACGTATTGATCTTTGGAAAAAATTTTAATATCATGAGTACTTGGTATTGGGGTGTTCAAAAATATTCGCGCATCCCGAGGTAAATCGTTATACCCGTGTCTTGAAAGAACTTGTAATAATAGGTTAATGCATTTTGATTAATTTGAAATTCATTTGCCCAATTGCACAGTTCACCTATCAAAGGCAAATGTATATTTTCTTGCGTTTGAAATTCGTCACTCTCTAATGATAAACTACTGGCATTGTCATTGTAATTAATATCAGTTTAATAAATGTGAATATTGCGAATTATCTAATAAAGCTGAATAATGCGAATGATTGATCTCTATCATGCCATCTTTAATCTCAGGCTCTTCAAATTCGAAGGCTGATAAACATGATGGACCATCGATTGGGTTGTTATCGTCAACATTTGAAAGAGTATTGAGAGGGTTATCGTTAACATTTGAGTAAAAGTTGGCTGAGAGGCTACTTCACGATTGTAATAAAGTAATTGAATTGTAATAAAATTCGCCGATTTTGTTGATGTTTCGATAACTCAGAAAATTGTTTGGACATTTTCAGATTTTCTAATTTAATCATAAATAATTAACCTACACAACCGGCTCTGACTATATACGCGTTATATTCAATTTTAAAATGTCTTTAATTAATAATTAAATACATAAATAATATTTTACACAAAAATATATTACCATAGTTGCACTGATGTTTCCAAATCTTTAATAAATCTTATAATATTAATTCTATTCTTTAATTATTAACAGATTCCCGACCTATTTCTGCAATCGCCATTTATTAGCTGTTGGATGCTGCATCACGTGCGCAATCACGTGCGCGTATATTGCAGCGATCTCATGAATATTTTGTGCAGGCTTTTTGATAAGTCGATTTAAAGTCGATTTGTGTCGACTTAAGTCAACTATTTTAAAAAATAAATTATATATATGGTGATTTATATATTATTCTTATAAGCAGTAATCCAATTCATGTCCACACGTTCATGAACAGCATTCGTCTTTGTTTAACTATAATATAGTTAAACAACAAGGACGAATGATTCCAATTTTGTGAACATAAATCGCATTAGACGTCTTAAAGTCGACATTGGAAGGACGTTTGTACAAAGTCGATTTACAGTCGACATATCGATGTTTGTGCTGTTAGTATATGGAACATCTATGTAACAAAAAATCATGAATTTAATAATGTATGAACCAAATGTTTACGTTAATAATAGCAAATTTACATCAATTGTCAGCGTTTCTTCAATTATCTCCGAGCTCTTTTTTTATACTGCCGAAAATTTGCCTAGAGTTGACGATCTTTAATAGTATCTTATCGGTGATATCGATCATGCAAGCGACATCGTCAGTCCTAGTCTACAATCAGTCAGGAGACGTAGTAAGAAATTAACCAATTAATCGTGTCGTAAGAAATTAATCAATCATGGTCGATTGTTTCTTTCTATGTGACAACCGAATACACATGCATTCGACATCTGATACTGACATACGACGTATTATAGAACAGTATTATACTGAATCGATAGTGTCGGTAGGCATGTACAGAATACCCATCTTTTTACATCATAGTCTAACGAGGCACAAATATATTTTTATTAATAACGTTTTCGGCCTGATCGAATTTGCACCAATCTGGATTGAAGTAATGATGTTTCGTGCTCTCCTATTGGTAAAGCGTGTAACAATAACCAATAGCGAAGCTAATTTTCCAACCCAAGTTCGTGCAAACTCGGTTGGATCGAAATAAGGGGCTCCGCAATAAAATGAACAGAGAATAAGAATTTCAATCTATAATCAAAAACTGTATTCCACAATATTTCTGATAGATTGAAATTCTTATTCTCTGTTCTCTGTTCCTTTATTATGCGGAGCCCCTAAGAATTTCAACCTATCAGAAATCATGTATTGTAAAATACAGTTTCTATTCTGTTACCTGTTCCTTTTATTATGCGAAGCCTCTAAGACTTGTTACAAAATTTACTGCCAGTACTGAAAATCTATAATTCATCGTATCTATAATTCGTCATATGCTCTATAGATTTTCAGTACTGGCAATAAATTTTGGAACACAGCCTAAATAAAAAAAAAAAAATAAACTTTTTGTTTATCATATTTGTTCATTCGAAACAATGTTTTGTATTAACTTTTGTTTTTCATAACATTTAAAAATAATAAAAATGTTCTAAATACTCAAACAGGAGGAAATCCTATGTATGTCATTGAAAGTTTTCATTATCGATTCAATCGCTAACGAATATTTAAAATGGAAATATAAAAAGAGAATTTCATGAAATAAGAGGAGGAAAGAAAAAAGTTTTAATCAATATATCGGAATTTAATGGAGATATCAACAATTAAACATTTAAGTATATTTTGCTATTTACATATGTAAATTTTTCATGTACTTTAACATGCTGACTGCTATATTGTTGATCTTAGGAATGGAAACTGTCATTATGGTCTTGACGCAGTTTAAAACAGTGTGCACGACGTTCTATAAATGCAGTCATTCTAGTGGACGGTATGGTAGCACCAGTTGATATCTAATTTTAAAAAATGAACAAATGTCTTATTAAATTTCAACGATATCGAAGAATATCGAAGAATTAATACCATAAAATGATAAATTATTATTTTAGGAAACGATCAAGTATGATTTTATATTACTTTTAACCATGGCGAACCAAGGCAGGTTTCTGCATTCATTCGATCCTCACCACGCAGGCATAACATTTTCCTGAGGAGTTCCTTTGCATCACTGGATATAATCTTGAAATATTCATCGGGAAAGCAGAAATCGCATTTAAGAATGTTGGCAGTGGTTTCCTCGACGGAGTCGTCCAAAAAAGGTGACAATCCACTATGGTATTCAAAAGATGAGGCACAGACAGTGCAGTATAAAAAGAAATAATTCAAAATTCAAATAAATAAGTAATTTTAGGAGAATACCTTAGCAAAACATAAATAAAAACTCCGACGGCCCACATATCCGTGTAAGTGCCAGTTGGTCTACCTAACACTGACTCCGGTGCTGCAAATTCTAAATCGGCAGGGGGCGGCACAATTTCGTCAATGGGAGCTTTAACCGCTTCCCCTAGATCTATTACCTTCACTTGGTCTGTCTCATGATCAATCAGAATGTTCTCTGGTTTTATATCCAGATGCGCCCGGCTGCGACAGTGTAACCAATGTAATGCGGATAACAGCTGACAAGTATATCGTGTCGCCATTGCCTCGGTGTATTCCGTTTTTTTACTCAAATATGCAAACAACGTTGGACCTCTGACCCTGCAGGGAGGAAAGCACTGTTTAATACTGTGACACAAAGATGGCTGTGTTATCAAAATGCTTTTGTTGTGAATAGTTACAGTTCCAAGACAATGGTGTCGACTCCAGATCGAGGCGCGTTCTCGAACAATGCGAACGCCCTGACAATGTTAGCGTGATGAGTGGAAGCCAGCACGTCGTATTCCGCACGTGTCAGTAATCTCGATTGCTTGTGTCGTGGAATTTGCTTGAGTGCCACCTCTTGACCGGTACCTTTATCTCTGGCACGGCGAACTGTGCCGAATCTACCATTACCCAGCTCGTCCAGCTCCAAATACCTGCTAATAAACTGCTTAGCTTCCCATTCCGTGCCACCGATGTCTGATCGCGATAGAGTCACTACGATCGATGGTGAGGTTGTCCTTCCATCGTTATCCACTACTCGAAAACTATATGAAGCATCCGTTGATACATCCAATAAAACGGGTGGCTCGTTAACTTGCTTCGATATTGCCACCCATTGTTGCGACGGTAAAATTCTGCATTCTATATTACACGACACACCACTGATCTCTTGCCTGTCCCAATCGATCTCTACCTTTGAGCATGCTAAAACACGTGCGGAGGTGCTGCTCTTTCCACCTGAAACACAATCAGGATTTAACGACACATCTAAAATATTTGTTATATTTTATCGGGATATTTCATCAGACATACCTACGATGTAGAGAGAAATTCCAACGGAAGAAGAGTCTGTTTCACCTATTAGATGACAGTGATATATCCCGGAGTCTGAAATTCGGCAACCATTGATTTGTAAGTATACAAAGCCCGCGCTTCGTTGGAACTGATATCGATCATTCTCTCTTATATATTGATTCTCGCCCTCCTTCCTCCAGGCGACAGTCGCATTATCCGCGTTGTGCGTCTCAATGGACAGTCTAACGACTTCTCCGACAGTCGCGCGAATCATCGACGTCGGACTATTCAGGATAACTGGTCTTTTGTCCTCGAGGTACGTTATTGTTGTCGTCGTTAACTCCCGGGGATCGGTGTCGTGGCATCTTGCGAAATCAATCTTCCGTGGTCGAAACGACCATGATCGGCTAATTGTCGAGTTCGGAATGAGACTCGCCGGGATCCACAACTCGTCTCTAGTATTCACAGGGGACACCACTAAGCCCGGACCGTCCAAGTGGGAGACAACAAGTTCGTCTCCGGCATGTAATTTTCCCCAATCCGCAGCCAATCTTACACGTGCACCTGGAACGACCTAAGGAAGTTCCTTTGTTATAAATCTTCTCGAATTTTCTTCATGTTGTTAAGCGTATCTTTCATGCAACTTGCATCGCTATTTTGCCCCGGTTTTGTATTCACTCTGAATGTGACAGAAGATTTGACCCAAGAAGAGCTTCCAGTATCGTAATGCAACGATGGTAGTGGTAATATAATGATAGTAGCGATCCCAGTAGAGAAGAAAATAACAGCATAGTAGTAGCATTGGTTTTGATAGAATCAGTAGTATAGAGTAGCAGCGGTAGAATTGTTATAGATAGCAGTAACGTTTGATGAAGGTAATAAAAAAATCAGCAGTGTAGTATAATACATACTATAGCGCGCATATGTGTATGTGTGTGTGTGTGTGTGTGTGTGTGTGTGTGTGTGTGTGTGTGTGTGTGTGCGCGCGCGCGCGCGCGCGCGCGTGTATATGGTGAGCAAGACGTTAGAAGAGACAATGGAGTTCGCAGAATCAAAAGTCATTCGTTACAAGAAAGTTTGGAATTTCTTTCCATCTTTCTATTATCTCCCTCGTAAGTATGTACGTGTAACATTTGCTTTACATGTGAGGTTTCATTACACAAGTTAAGAGAATATATGTAATAGCGTATGACGTTCGTGAATCGTTCGATAGTCGATAGAATTCTTTAACGATACAAGTATATAACAATCGTTGCGCCAACAGAAGATAATGCAATAGATAGCGGTAGATAGCGACAGACATCAAGAAGAAGAGGAAGAGCCCCTTTGCTGCAATCATCAAGAATTCCGATTGATATGAATGATAACTTCTGTGTATTTATCAATTAAAATTATTAAAAACATGTCAATCAAGATTAGCTCACCGGGATGGAATTGTTGCGAATCGGCGAGCGTGTGCGTAGAGTATTCTTAAATCCCTCCAGGAAGTTTAGCCTACTCTTTGTTGGACTGGGGGTACGTGGTTGCACGCATTCCAATCCCCCGGTCTGCGAGCGTTGCAACGGTTGCTGATTCATCCTGTAGTCTCGGTTCATCGATTCGGAGACTATCAGCGTCGGAGGAACCGATACGGTTGTTCGTATCACAGGTTCGGTGGTAGTAGTAGTTGTAGTAGTAGTGGTAGTAATAGTAGTAGTAGTAGTAGTAGTAGTAGTAGTAGTAGTGATGGTGGTGGTGGTGGTAGCACGGCTGTATGCCAGCAAATCATAAATGAAATTCAAGACACAGTACTACGAGTCGAGACTCATTCACTTCGATACGCTCGCTACTAACTGTTTATTGGAATAAAAATTTTAAAAATAATCTTTTAGGTATCTCAAATGATTGGAATCTCGAAGCAATCGATAGAAATGAGTCTCGATATACGAATCAGGATATACGGAGGATATACTGACGTTGCCAGCAATTTGGATCTTTCGGACGTCGAATAATAGATAAGTGTGTATTCAACGCATGGCGGTAAGGTGGGTAGGTGGATGGGTAGTTGTTCGTAATCATGTGGTAGATACACTTGAATTTGTTTCTCGCAGTACTGTGTTCTTGATAAAATTATAAAAAAAGAAGCTGATTAGTCGGATTGGGCGTGTAGACAATAGATGAGGATAAAGGATGCATATCACAATCACTCGATCTTAATCATCACAATTTACAATTTATTCTAAACAAAATTCTTACGATTCGCGGGTTTCAATTATAGTTTTGTTCGAACTGTTCTTCAGTATCGCGCATTAATATATACACAGTATATTGTTACGCCACAATCTGTCCATAGATTCGT